AAAGTAAACCAAACATTCACAGGGAGGACGTTCAAACTCAAAGCAGAAAGAATTTGATCCCTTAACTTTCTTGTTGCAGGGCAACAGTGCTATAAACTCTGTTGTGCGGACCAACATGAGGGTTGTACATTTTCTAAATGTGAGTTTAATACAGCTGTTATAGAAATGATGAAACCCCTATAGTTTTTACACCATGAATCTTTTTGTTGTTTTTTGTTTTGTTTTTTCCAAACAAATTGATTTTGCTAACAGCTAAATTTGCATTTTTTGTAACCAAGTGAGAGGCGGAGTGAGTGAGGGTAGGGATAGTGCTGTGTGACTCCTTCCATACAGCAATATAAAAATCAGAGGAATGGTTTGACTTGGTCCGAAACAAACCATAATTGCGAAAAATGTTTATTTTATACCATCAATAAGAAAATACATGCTTTAAAAAACAAAAAAAAATATGAAGTTGGTTTAAGGGACACATTAAATCAATGTAGCTTACATATAGCAAATCTGCTAAGAGTTAAGAAACTGCTTCAATTGAACTGATGGAAATATTACAGTCAGTCGATCCCCTGTAATCTCTGAGTAGATGCTCACAATAACACTTTAGATGCTGAGATCTCTTGATAAATTGTGCTTCTGGCATTTTAAATCTGACAACAATGCATGTCACTTTTACTTTATCTCGTTATGGACTTTATTCATTCAGCCATCTTGAGCACTATCTGAGCAATAACGAGATAAGAAGCAAAATCAATACGTAAAATCCGGAACGGGAGCCGCTTGGTAAAAGCCTAACCCAAGGGTGAACATATGGTCCTGCATTGCTGCTGTTAACCTTGCCGGGTGATAGCAGAGGGCAACCGCTTCTCTATCCATCTCCATCAGTCCTGCTGCAATCCGTTCCTCCCAGCTGCTCCATTGTCCTCTGATGACCAAGCTGCTCCATGTGACCTTCACACCCACACTACATCTCACAGCACAGTATCATCAAGATCATGTAAAGAAAACAACAAAAAAAGGATGTAGTTTTCTGTTTGCCAACCTCTCAGTGTGTCAAAATTGAACAAATGACATCACTGCTCAAACTTACAATGAGAAGTTTTCACGAAATGCTTTTCATTATGTTTCACACAGCTTTATTTTATCTTTAGTAAACAACAAACACAGCATCACAACCAATCTTAAAATGAAGGGCATCCTTTTCAGCTCCTGCTCATTTTTTTAACAGAGATATCCAGTTAATTAATTAAGGCTTGACAGTTAGAATAAAATCCACTATAGAAAAGCAGAACATCTTCATTATTCAGGAAAAAACTAACTAAAAAATACTGAAATAATTATCTAACAGGGGCAAATTAGCCTGCTCGCAAAACTGTGCTCAAACTCCTAAAATAATAACCTGTACAAAACTGTAAGAGTTGTTTTAAGTTATTTAGATCTTATGGAGTTTACAGCTAACCTTTGATTTTTCTCAGTTTAATTGGCTTTGTGCTAGGAAGACTAATTAAAGTGCGATTCAAGCTCAAATCGTGGTCAAACATTTAAATCTGCAAACATAAGGAATACGAATAAAGCTTTTGATTGAAATGTGTTCAAACCAACTCACAATGCAAATTCAAGGGATTAAATAAAACATGGCTCTCCTGGATCCAAATCTATAGAACCAAAGGGAATGTTACAGACTGTCTGTTTTGCAGCAACCAGGTTCTGAAATAGCCTGTAGGTCCAGTTAGCTTTGAGCAGTAATAAGACTCCGATCTTTGGCCTCCCATTGTGGATATCTCCCCAATGTGTTATTCCTGCATAGAGCCTCAATGGCAAAGAGAGCAAGCAGAGCAGGAGGCATTGCATGTCCATGTGATCTGTCTCTGCGAAGGTTTTGCAGAGCGGTCTGTATCTAAGTTTGGAGAGCAAAGCCAAAACTGCATCTTCCTCCACCAGTGTTCAATGTTAAATTTTAAATGTTGAAAAAAAATCCACCAAGACAAATTTGTTAAGAGGTCATTCACAATATTCAACATTTTAACCAGCGAGTGAACATATGTTGTTTAACCCCTTCCTGCCAAAGTTTACTAAAAATTATGATTTTTCTCCATTCAGGACAAAGACAGTATAAACAAATGTGGCCAACTTAAGGTGACATTATATTTGCTATGTACTCACAAAGTTGCTAAAAAAGATGATGAAATTAAATATATAATTAATTGTATAAAAAAAAAATATATGAATATGAATTTCAATGTTCAAATAGAGTATAATATGAGCTTAAAAGTCATAATTTACACAAGCTTAACCCCCAGAAAAGTGTGTGTGTTTTACATTTGTGAAAATGATGCAAATGGTGAACATAAATATGTTACTAGGATTTTCTTCATGTTGGTGCACAAAATAAGCCCCTAAATGTCTGATAGACTTAAAATCTTCATCTTCAATTCAGCTGTGATGGGTAGAAAGGTTCCCCCGCAGTTACCATAGTAACTCAAAACTATTCTCAGGAGTGATATCAAAAAGCTTTTGAATGTCAAAGAAATGGATGCAAAGTGATCAGAAAGCGAGTCTCTGTCTGCCTCAGACTGGACTTTGCTGGCTGCAGCCTTATCTCATTTTTAGTATTTTGATTATAAGTTTGATAGATGGGAAAAGATCAATATACTCGTCAAAACTGAAAGGACAAAATTTTACCAGGTTACTTGTCTATTTTCACAAACAGATCAGCAAACCTTCCACATTTCTCCATCCCCCCAAACAACTCCTAAAAATCAAACAGCTGCCAGTCAGACTTGTTTGTGCCATCCCTCAAACTCCCCAAATAAATCAGACGCTCCTTTAGATGCGTTTACAGCGAAGGTGGCGAGCGTTTTTCATGGTGAAGATGGATGAGTTCCATGTGTTGCCTGCCAGGGCTCCACTGACCAGCCTTGCTTTGCAGAATGAATGTCTAAAAAATGGCTGCAAGATTGTTGCACAGAGGTGCTGAAGACATATGGTGTCATTTGTCAATTCATTAGAAAATGCAAACAGATGTGTCAATTCGTACAGCACCTAATTTGCAGCTGTTTTAGATGTGATGCACGCTTCAGTAAACGCAGCACCAGAAATGTGAAGAAACGTTCTGCTTACCTCTGCAAAGCTGCCTGCTTCCACAGGACTAACTGGGGTCAGCTAATGGGATTATGTGGGTTGAAAGCCATCATAAATGAAGTCCCTAGTGAGAAACTAGGAGCCCCGTCTATCCTTTAACCCTCTTTAGAGCCTTGCCTTTCGCAGCCACTCAGAAAGCCACACTGAGACTGCTCCAGCTCAGCTGCTGAAGCGGCTGTACTCAGTCCAATCGTATGTGTAAGAGGGATGCTTTTCACTTTTTAGCAGAAAAAACAAACTTTTATTAATAATATTCCTTTTTTTACTTCCCTAAATCGATTTTCCATATTGCTCTTTACAAAACAGCTAATTTTTTGTCAGATTTAACAGACTGTCTGGTCCACAAGTCCTCCATTAAATTTTCTTCTGACCTTTAATTAGGCCATTTTTACCCATGAATGTGCTTTTTTTCCTCATTTGGCATGGAAAAGTATAAACTTCTGACAGGATGAAGACCTTAAAAAATATGTGACTTTAGCACTAAATAAAGTTATTGTGAAATGAACCAATTAAGAAACACATTTTTGAATTGTCAGCAGGTCGTCGGCTTTTGATGTGGTTGACATGATGCTGCTTGATCCCCTGATGATCTATAAGATCATTTTGAACAAATTTGTGAATTTAACCAAAATTTCCAATTAGCTTCACAATCTTTTGTCAACTTTAATAGCTAACATAAGTTATTTTTAGATCACTCTGATATTTCACTCCCTTGCACAGTTTTTCTCCCCTTTACCATGCTCTTTCATACCTATAATTTTTACTATACTTTCGAACAATATTCATATATGTGACAGGATGACTGCATTTCCAATTTTTTAATAGCTAAGACAACAATAGACACCTTATTTCTTGAATTTAATTTATTATTTTCGCCATTTTTTATGTTTTATATGGTGTTTTATGTCAAGTTTATAAATCATTATGTGCAAATACTGTACGAACTACTGTACACAGAAAGCACCACTACAGGTACAGTGGCCTTCGGTACTTTCATATTTCACTAATCAACTAATCAAATACACAATCCTTCTATTCAGAAACACTCTGGCTGATAAGTTGTGACCAGTACATTACTTAGTCAAGCTCAGTAACACTGTGGTACAATTCTTTCACTGTCTGACCCTAAAGGTAGCTTGTTTACTTCAAGAAGGCATTACCTTAATTTTAGCAAATAGCGCTGGGTAATTAGCTTTCTCTGGCTGCCACTGTCCAAAAGCCAAAGCATTTCTATATAAATGACTTTAAAGGGTTCCAAAGTGCAGCGCCGCTCATGTGCACTCTGGCAAAAGTTGATTTCTTAAAATAAGCGCAATTTTTCTTTGAGAAGGTGAGATACTTTGCCAAAGGAATAAGACATTTACATTTTAAATAAGAAAAAAACTTGGATTGTCCTATTTCAAATGCATATTATCTAACTATCTTATTTTAGGATGAAAAATATTAATTGCATTGGGAAGTAATCTTATTTAACTACTCAAATTAAGGGTTAATACACTTAATTTAAGAAATGTTGACTTATTTCTAGATCATCTTTGCAGTGCAGTTTGTCTTGAGTTGAGTTGAGGCGTTCTCCTCTTTTAGTTATCAACCTGTAGAGCTAGCCAAACAGCAAGGTCAGGATGCAGCAGTTACATCCAGATGTTTTGCTTCCCAAAGTAATGGAACAGAATTGTCTCCATAAACGTGACTGGATGGTTTGCAATTAATGTAGTTGACTTTTACTCTTTCTGTATTGGACTAGACTAGATTGAACAGACTGTTTTTGTAGTGTGCCCTGAGATGACATGTTGTGAGCTGGAAATTTAATTCAATTAAAATACTCTGTCGCACACATGTTGACTCTTTGTACCTTCTCGCTGCAGAAACGTAAGCTCAGACGGCGCAGAGGCCCGGCGCAGACTGAGAGAATGCGATGGACTGGTGGACGCTCTGCTGCACGCTCTGCAATCCGCTGTAGGGAAGAAAGACATGGACAACAAGGTAGAAAATAATCCAGCCTCTGTAACACGTGCAGCACAGCAGCAGGTGTTTGCCAGAATTTATGTCACAGCTGATGCCATCGCTGTTTCTCTCTTCTCTCCTCAGTCTGTGGAGAATTGCGTTTGCATTATGAGGAACCTCTCCTATCACGTGCACAAAGAGGTGCCAGGAGCTGAGAGGTTCCAGGATCCCTCAGCTCTGCAGGCTCCTGGGTCTGCAGGACCGCAAAGGAAAAAGAAGGATGACGCTGGCTGCTTTGGAGGGAAGAAGGCCAAAGGTGAGAAGCAAGGGGGAAAGAATGAAGACAGAAATATAGAGCAGGTTATTGCTCCTGATTTCTTTTCTCCACTATAATCCGTGCATTTGCTTTTATTGATAAAACGTTTTTCTTCAGGCTATGATTAAGGTATAGTCCTATCTTCTTGCTGTCCAAGAATAGTTGCTGTATTGAAGTTAGCTCGGTCAGGAAGTGAGAGGTAACAACCAAACATTGACCCTGAACTCTGAGTACTACTTGGAGTCGCATCAGTTCAGAGGTCTCGTCCACTTAAAGCCACACCAGGCCCTTTATGGAGTGAATTTTGCTCCATTATTGTTGCAACCAAGGGCGTAGGAATATGTTTACTATTGGGGGGGACACATGTCGCAAATCTGAGATTCGTATTCAACAGAAACATATCTTAAGTATGCTACTTAAAAAAAAGGCTATTTAATCTTTTACTTTATTCCTTTATAAATGTGTCTTGCAAAAATAATGCATTTAAAATTTACATAATGCATTTGTTCATAAGATGTGAGCATATCACCAAACAAAATGACTGGAGTCTTTTATTAAGCAAAGGGAGGTGTCTTTCAAGGGCTTCAACCCTTAGCATATTTAGTGTCCGCATACGCACTAGAAAATCAAATATTTCAGTTTGATTAAAAACAATTCACTAAGCCACACATGTGCAAAGTTTGATATGTTTTATTTTGTCAAACTTGCAATAATGGTCAAAAATGAATTTATATAGGTTGACTGACAGAGGGAGCTGACAGTGTGTTGAAGAATTATGGACAGGGCGCTTTGAAGCATCTGGTTCAAAAACGCATTCTAAACCTTTGGTAGAAATCCATCTATCCTTCCATTTTCTGTGCACCCTGTCCCTTAGTGGGGTCGGGAGGTGCTGGTGCGGGGTACACCCTAGACAGGTCGCCAGTCTGTCAAGACCTTTGGTAGAAATGGCGCCTTTAATTCCAGTTTGCAGTACAGAACAGAGAAAACTACAGAGTTGTCAATGTTGTGTTAATCTGTTCATCGTCTAAAAAGAGGAGCCAGCAGTTTATTTGAGGAAATAAAGGTGCAGAAGTTAATTAGTTGGTTAATTAGTGGTTGTGCAGTGGACTGCTGCACAACCAATGCGACCGCCGCTGCTAAGAATTAAAATTAATTCTCCCTGTGGTTTTAACTAACGATCAGGAGCGCGGCAGGTATAACATCTGTCAATTTCGGCGAATCAAAACCACGCAAAAAATAAAAAAATCCTCGTTAAACGCACGCCCAGATCGGGCTAATTTCAACACAAGTTGTGTTAGGTGACTGTTACTCACACTGACGTTTCTCTTTTTAAAAAAATCTGAGTAAGTCCTACTGCTGTTTCAGCCTTTTAGTTGGTGGTGGCATTGTACTGAAATGAGATATATAAAAAAACAAAAACATTTTGGCTAGCGTAGCAAATGTCTAGAGAAAGTTAGCAGTTAAATATTGGATGAGTGATCAGCCCAAGACTACGGAAGAGGATTAGGGCCACTGAAAAAAAAAAAAAAAGTGATAAGTGATTTTTAAATTTCATTTCAGTTTAATACGGGAAAAAGGTCAGAATTCTGACTTTTTTTCTCAGAATTCTGACTTTAATCTCAGAATTTTGGATCTTAATGTAGATGGTCACCATGAAGGAAGAGATGTGGAGCACTCAGCTTCACTGACAAAGATGTGAGTTGTTTGAGGTGGCCAGTGACACATTGGTGGAAAATGACGGAATTAGGCAACTTTTTACGTGCCCGAGGGGTCCCCTCATTAATGGAGGAGCAGAAGGTCATTAAAACAAGAGAGCTAGTCTCTAAAACAGACATGGCTATGGCTGGATGCTAACATGTTTGTTTTTAAACATACTTTTGTTATATTACATTTGTGTTGTGTTTTCCAAATAATGTAGAAAATGAATGGTGGGTTTATAATGTTTACCTTTTATGAGCAGGACAGGAAGCAGAGAAGTGTAGCATTACCTCCAACTAGTTAAACTCATAATTATGAAGTTATTCAACAAATTCCTCAAGTAAAAAAGTGCAACTTTTATTTTTTATTTATTTATTTTTTACCAGATTTGTTGATTAATTTCAAAATTATGTATTCCTTCCAAATTTCCAAATCTGAAGAATTTTTTAAACCAATATCTACATTATTTAACATTTAGTTTATGTTTTAGCAGTACTTCCTGTTATATTTCTTTATACGTATATTTTACATTTTCTTGCACAGCAAGCTCAGCAGATTTGAAATTGTGTGCTTGTGTAAACACTAGTCAATCTTTACTCTAAACATATATTCTGGTTATTTTTTAGTTAGACCTACTTGTTTTTATGTATCTGTATAAGTACCCCCCCCAAAAAAAATAAAAACACTGTAAATTGATTAGAAATATTAATCATCTGTCAGATTTCTGAGAAAAAAGTCATAATTCTGAGATTAAAGTCAGAATTCTGAGAAAAAAGTCAGAAGAAAAAAGTCAGAATTCTGAGATTAAAGTCAGAATTCTGAGAAAAAAGTCAGAAGAAAAAAGTCAGAATTCTGAGAAAAGTCAGAATTCTGACTTTTTTCCCCATGTTAAACTAAAAAAAAAAATGTAAAAATCAGTTAACTTTTTTTTTCCAGTGGCCCTAATCCTCTTCCGTACAAGACTTAGATGACTAAACCAAAAAGATTCAGTTTCTATAAATGAAAGTGAACTAAAAACAAAACGTTATAAATGGGCAATATTCATAGCAGCATCCCGACAGACTATTTTACCTCTTTCACAAGTTTCTGATTTCTGTGTCGCCGTTTCCCTCCCTGCTGACTGAGTGCTCAAACACTCAGCAGTTCAGAGAGGGGAGGGGGAGTACAGTGACGTAACGCTATGCTGCGCCTTCAAAATAAAAGCACGCTAGTTAAAAAAATGTCAAAATCTAATATTTTGCGGTACAATTTTTGGGGGGGACATATCCACCTGGCTTTTATATTGGGGGGGACATGTCCCCCCCGTCCCCCCCGCTTCCTACGCCGCTGGTTGCAACCAATGAATATGAAAAAAAAAAAATGTAAATTAAAATTTGAAAAATCTGCAATCCAGAATTGAAACTGAGAAAAAAAACAAAAAAAACGGTTGTTTTCTTAGAATCTTATTTTAGTAATTTTTTTAGTTTTTACAGATTTTATGTTTTCCAAATTTTAGTGTTTTACAAAACTTTATTATCAGTCCGCATGGATGTTTTCAGCAACATTTCTTCAGATCAATGAAATAAAAAGAAATAGATTTATGAAACACAATCAAAAGTAGAAATTTGAAACAGCATGTAAATATTAAAGTTGTGCAAAAAAAAAAAATTGGTAACTTTTCTCTCAAGATCTTTATTTATGTATGAAACGTTTTCAAAGTTTCATTTCTAGATTACATTTCTCCCAAATGTTTATTTACAAAACATGTTCTTTGCTTTGCAACAATAATGGAACTAAATTCACTCCACAGACCTTTACGTTATCGTGTGGGAAATCTAAAAATCAAACTGTGCAAGCAAATCCAAAGAAATGCTTCTCCTATTTTCAAAAGCATGCATGTGTTTCAAAGGCAACATGTTTCGTTGCCTGATTTCAGTTTCTGTATAACCATTCTTTTGCAGCCTGCAGATGTAAGCAGGCTCTGATAAACAGTGATTGATGGTAAGATATTTTAGCTTACACTAAAAAGAATAAAAAAAGAAGGCAGAGATGTTATTTTTAAACATTAGATTGACATATATGCTGCTTTTAGAGAACTCACAGTTAAGGTGGTTTGCTGACTTTGTGGAAAGAGACATGTTTTCCGTAATGGAGACCAAATACACATTCAATGATGACGATTCATTTTTCACATTTGTTTGACTAAAAACTCATTAAGTCATAAATGTAAATGTCTCTGTCGCTTTTCAAGGGATCATCTTATTCTTCAGCTGCCTTGTCTCGGTCCTCTATTAGTAACTCCCAGCAGGTTCTCTGAAAAAAACCTATAAAAATAAATATATATATATATATATATATTTATATATATATATATATATATATATATATATATATATATATATATATATATATATATATATATATATATATATATATATATATGTATATATATATATATATATATAGCCTATATATAAAACTTTGGCAACCTTTATTCCCTAAGGTGGTATGTGGCTGAATTTCTACTTCACTGCAGTAAAAAAAAAAAAAAAAAAAGAACAGGTGTTTTGTATTGGCCTGTAGAAAAATGCACATACCAAATGGCTCACAAGCAGTGACTGTGGATGAGATAACTGCGCGTACGCATCCCAGCAGCATTGCCATGTTGCTCCACAGGCGCAGCGGGGAGGTCGGGGTTCTCTGGTAGGGCGTCAGGGCGACATGGCATTAAAAGAGATTGGGAGATCCCAGCTCTCGCTGCAACCGTATGCTGGAATGACCCAGATGCAAAAAAGTGCAATGTTGCAAGGAGTTTTGTGATATCTGGTATTGCGTGGGTCCTCCTTGTGGCTGGCTCCAAATCCATTAGGAGTTCCTCCAGCAGCTCCAAAATGGCAATGCAGGATAAACGATATGTTTTGATGATCGTTTCCTCGTTCACTCCAAAAATATTCACACGGAGTGAAAAAATGCGTTCTCTGCGTCTCCTTGCTTCATTTCGATGTCTCATTCTTGCGACAATAACCGCTGCCATGTGTGCGCAATTACGCATACAGACCATTTGCACCTTCTTTTGAAACGTGTTAAACATAGAGTCAGATACCGTTAGCAAAATTGCTTTCAGGTTTGATAAATCACTTTGCGAGTGCTAAATTAATATATTTACATGTTCTCCTCCCACAAGACGCAGTGTAAACGCCCCATATTGCATATTCATTGCAGAAAAAGTACTAAATGGATAAGAGGCGCTATTTAGCGCGTTTTTTTTTTTTTTTTTTTTTTTTTTTTTTATATAAATTGCTTTATTATAATTATGCAGGGAG